TAGTTTGGAAAACAATCTCTTTTACTCTCCCCCACAAGTAAAAGTCCATACACGTAAGATCGGGTGACCTAGCTGGCCACGGGAATAAACTGCCTCGTCCTATCTATCTATCACGATAAGCGTTGTCTAAAAATCGACGGACATTTACCGATAAATGAACCGGACACCCATCTTGTTGAAGAAACATGTTTACTTGCTTTCGCACCGGTATGTCTTCCAACAGTAATGTTAGTTGGTTTTGTAAAAAGTGTAAATAAATATTTGCGTTGAGCTTTTGTTCAAATATAAATGGACCGATAATTCGGCCCCCAATTATTCCGCACCAGACATTGACACTAAATCGCCCTTGATGCTCAACTTCCTGCATCCAGTGAGGGTTTGCCCTGGACCAATAATGCATATTATGCAAATTAACTCCCCCATTGCTGTTAAAAGTAGCTTCATAGGTCCAAAGTATATTTGTAAGAAACTCATGTTCTTCTCAGAACCGATTGTTTTGTTAACAACCCAACAATAGCATGTTATTGTCAAATTGCTTATATCTTCGGTTATAACAAATATATCGGTGTGTGGTTTTCACTATTTTGCTTCATTTTTTTTACTCCTTCTAAGCAGTTAAAAAATTATATATCAGTTCATTTAAAAAATTTAGGAAAATCGAAAAAGTTTGACGACTTTATAACGCGCCCTCTGGCGGCCAAAGTGGCAATGATATCGGCCAATATTTTATAGTAGGTGTTAATGTAAATCAAGAGCTATTCAATTGCAATTTAAGCGTTGAATTTGGTTAAGCCAATACGGAGCTATTAACAACTTTTTGAACCGTTATTTGATTTTCCCCCACCACTTTATATTGACTAGCTAGAACAATAATACTCCCACAAGCAATAACTGAGAGTTTGTCAAGAATAGAATGAAAGTACTTCCAACCTACCTTAGCCTATCTGAAACCGCTAAAAATACGTATTTAAACTTTGCTATTGCAATTTCGCCCTCTAGCGGCCATTTTGCAAACTTGAAAGTAATTTCCACCCATTTCCCTGAGCCACTTTAGTGCCAGCCATATTTTAGTTTATTTTTTTTATTGTAGTTGGTTTCTGTTCTGTTTGTTTGTTGTTGTTTTTTTTTGTTTTTCGTAGTTTACATATCGCGCAGAATCGCGCTCAAACAGGGGGGTATTACCCACAAGAAGTACCTGGCATCCTGTCACGTGGAAAACCCCGACGTTTTTCCAGTAAATTTTGTGCGCTGTGTTGGACTTGGTTTTTTTTGTGCGCATCCACCATACAATCGCCCAAAATGCAGGGACAGGGTCGCGATTACCATTCCGGCAGAGAGACTCCGGAAATGCCCTCCGCTCGCAACTCGAGCGAATGGAGGGGGGATCTGCGCCACAGCAAGTAAATTGTATATACTAATGAAATTATTATCGTCTCAATCGAAATGATTCTATTTACATCATGGGTTAAGTTTGCTTGTCAAGTGTCTGTATCTAAAATACGTAGATATTGCATTTATTTGTTTTAATATAGTCCTACCAGGAATTTTTAATTTTTCGCGAGACACTAATCTTAAGAGCCACTTCAGAAAATAATCTGCGATAATTTTACTCATGAGTGTAACATAAGCCCATTTAATTGTGTTACAAAAATGTATTAGACATATGTATATCGAATATACAAAAATCTTTAAAATCCGAAAAATACCTAAATACTTGTGTGATGTGCATCATGTGATAATTCTTATAATACCGGTCGAATTCTGCTTCGCACGTTAGTCACACGGCCAGCTACAGTTGCCACATCATGTGCATTGGCATACTCCCTGGAATACTTTGGTTTCCAAATTATATTTTAAAACGAAGCTTTTAACAATGTTTATACAGTTTTGTTACTAAATTTTCGACATACAGAAACTGAGTGTCCATCATTAAATGTCCCAGCTGAATCAGCGTCAAATCCGACATAAATATTAAAAAGTCAAAGAGACATGTTGCATTTCCTATTTGTAAAAGACAAATAAAATTATATAAAAGAATTAGAAAGAATACAAGAAGAAAAAAAGAACAAGGAATTTACTATGTCCTTAACAAAATAGCAAAACAAGTGATTCTTTAGAGTGGTACATGTTGCATGTAAAAAAATGTTTGAATATATTTAATATTGTATTAGACTTATAGTTTACTCCACTTAACTACTTTTACTTACCAAATTCTGAATCGACTCGTTCTCAACTTTGCCTATAATGTCAAAAGTGCTTTCCGCAACAGACATATCAACACCGTGGTGTTTACTGGTACAATAATAATGTCTGTCATCCTCCAGCAAAAATGATCCATTCAAACAAGCTAAACTCTTAAAAGCAGTTTCGATGAAACTTATCACTTCTTGATCAACCGACCGTTTTGTGGGTATCCTTAAAAGAGTTTTAATGTAACTGTTTGTGATTGAAAGGATTTGCATTTGGGGATCGTAGTCTCTACAATCGTAAGGAGGTAATTTCTGCTGTTGGGGAACTACGGATACGAAGCAGTGATCTCCGCCTAAAATAAACAATTCATGTTCTAAAACAGTTAATTTATTTTAAATAATTCGGCATACAGAGTGTTCAGGAAAAATTGTACATACTTGAAAAAGTTATAGTGCTATATTTTTACGCGTAACAGTTTTCGAATATTTAGGGTGATAAAAGTTAATTTAATAAATCGTTTTTGTTTAATGTTTCATATTTTTATCACCGTTTAATACGTAATTGACCGACTTTTTTGTGGTAAAAGTTAATTGAACTCGGTCAGCTGTGACGTGCGTAGTGTACGTAAAGATCGCGTTCAAGATCTAGAAGCGTTAAATTTTCGTGTCTATTTATGTAACACTTGGCTTTATGCACGCCACAGTTAACCTTGGCCCATGAAAGTAAAATGCCTGTTAATGATGTGTTTCAAGTCCTTGCCAAATGTTCTAATACCAATAACTAATTTTTTTTTCCTAAATTAACTGTTTGCCGGATATATACAGGGTGATTCAAAATTGGCGTCATTCCTTTTAAGGGGTGATAGAGGCTCCCTTGGGGAGTACCAGAAAAATATTGAAATTTTTTTTTTCGAAAATTTCTAGAAGATATTAACAGTTGAAGATCGA